TGTTTGTGGACATTTGCTTACTCTATCTCTCATATATTGATAACGATTATAATACTTTATACATTTGACTTCCATCATAATTAAAAATAGAAATTCAGCTGTGTTTATGACAGACGTATTCACTTAATTACAGTTCTGTTTCTGACACATTTCAAAAAAGACTTTACTAAGAGAATATTTAGCTAAATAAAATACACATTCTCTCTCTCCAATATTTGCACAAACATTTTAGTCTACTATGGGATGGGATGATAACCGTTTTCAACGTACATTATGTTTAGGAAAAGTCAAGGTCTTAAAACTGCCAATTAATTTTGTTTAACTTTTTTAGGACAACAGTATCTCCGGCAGAAATTATATCCAAAGACGGCGTTTTACATTGTAAAGAAATCTGTGTTTTTTGAAACTAATGAAGAGAGCATAAGTCATTTGAATTATTTAGCCTGACATGTTTACTGCTCCTAAATATTTGAAATGTTGCCCAAAATGGAATATATTGTGTTCAAAGGGGGGATATGTTTTAGTTTTTTATTCAGACATTTAAAAAGAATATATTTTAGTGCAGTAATCACACCGTAAAACCGTGATACTTTTATCCGAGGTTATCATACTGTTAGAATCCTATACCAGCCCATGCCTAAAGTCTACTTGTAATATGCTATCCAAAACTAGACAAAATACTGTTTGCAAAATTTGTATCAAATTATGACTAAAGAATTGTATAACACAAAACCACTGATTAGATAATATCATTTGCCAGATCCTCAAAATTCAGCCGTTCTTGGTCAAAGTTGACTTCTTTATCAGAGAGTTGAATTAAAGTGAGTGTGCCGTACACAGTGAACATTTTGATGGTTGAAATATTGATTGTTTGCACACATCACAAGTGAGTTTATGTGAAAATCACTCAGACACAGTCATATACAACATAATTTGAATTCCTGCTGAATACTGAAGCAATAGCATGAATAACCATGCCAAAACCATGGACAGATGAAGACATTACTTTCATTGATTTCAGAGCCACCCTGTCTCTTTCTCATAAAGCTTAAAAGTGTTACAAATCAAAAATGTTTGCTTAACAAGCAGCTTCTTTTTAGCAGCATGAATTAAAAAGCCCTGTCCAAAGTAAACCATGTCTTTGAGATTGGAACTGAGCTGAATTGAGTATTGTTGTAGGCCTCGGCTCTTACATGTTGCTTTTTACTGCCACCTTGTGGACAAGCTAATTAGTGCAAAGACCGTTCAAAGAACACATTTTGCCTGACTCATTGTACACCGCTGAAGTATACTTTGAGCTTCAATTTGATAGAAGTATATCCTGACTTTACCTTTTTCCATTTGAAAGTGAACTACTGTTGTCTGATGTGTTTGACTCAGGGTTGGACGGTCTGTCTGAACGCTGTGCCCAGTACAAGAAGGATGGCTGTGACTTTGCCAAGTGGCGTTGTGTGCTTAAAATCTCTGACAGTTGCCCCTCCGCTCTTGGAATTGCTGAAAATGCCAATGTCCTTGCCCGATATGCCAGCATTTGCCAACAGGTGTGTCTAACAGAATGTTCTTAGTCCATGTGAGTTTTTTTTTCTCATTTAACAACTTAACACCCTTTTTTCTGATGAACTCTTTCTTGTTCCTATAGAATGGCCTGGTGCCTATTGTAGAGCCTGAGATCCTCCCAGACGGAGATCATGATCTGAAACAATGCCAGTATGCCACTGAGAAGGTAAGCTTATCTTTAGAATAATCAAAAGCAGAGCAGAGAATTATACTAAACTATCCATCAGCAATAACTCCAAACCAATTCCATCCAAGGTCCTAGCGGCTGTGTACAAGGCTCTCTCTGATCACCACGTTTATCTGGAGGGAACTCTGCTCAAACCAAACATGGTCACCGCTGGACACTCCTGCACCAAGAAGTACACCCCTTTAGAGGTTGCCATGGCCACAGTCACTGCTCTCAGACGCACTGTGCCTGCTGCTGTACCAGGTAAGACAGTCCGCCGGTGGTCTTCATTCGAATGTTCTTCAAACATCTTAACATTACGTTAACATCTCTCTTTTCTTTTCTCAGGAATCTGCTTTCTCTCTGGGGGTCAGAGTGAGGAAGAGGCCTCTCTGAATCTGAATGCCATGAACCAGCTGTCCCTGCACAGACCCTGGAAGCTGAGCTTCTCTTATGGCCGTGCTCTCCAGGCATCGGCACTTTCAGCCTGGAAGGGACAAGCAGCGAACAAGAAGGCTTCACAGGACGCCTTCGTTACACGTGCCAAGGTAACTGATAACTTAAAATACCTATATTGTGTTTCATTGTGTTGCCAGTTTATGAAGGCCCTAATATACTTCAAATTAAGTCGATGAACTAGCTAAAATGACAACATTTAAAACAAAATACGGCCAAAGTTATTTTCATTTGAAGCTAGTTTTGGCAGTTCTCAACAGCTAACCAAATCAAACTTATTTGGGGGGTTCATTTTGGCTAATAAATACCTTTAAGCTACCATTGGTCCATTACCATTACACAATTGGTTGTTATCAAACCTTGTTTGACAAGCTAGTACACCAGGTGTAAAGGACAGTCTCTCTGTAGAGGAAATAGGGCTGGGCAATTAATGGAAAAGCAATCAAAATTGACATTCAAAACCTAGAATCGATTCAAATTTCCTAGGTAAATTTTCTCAATGACTTCTTATCGTGTGTGGAGTTATGTGACCCCACACTGTTAAGGCTACTTTATACTTCTGTGTCGTATACCCGTGCACCTCTCAAAAAATATTGCAAGTTTGCATTACATTGACGATGATTAGAAGCTGCGCCAGGAACAGCATGTTTTTTATTACAATAAAATTAATATTTACTTTGAAATATTTGTTCACAAAAGACTCAATAAATGCACTGTTTAAAATATTATTTACAGGATATACAAGAGCTGTTTTATTTACAAGAGATACTGCTTATTATCTACTTTTAATAATAAAAATGAACATTGAAAATAATTAATTTTGTTTCCAAAAATGCAAGTTATTTATGGTCACATTTATATACATTTGAAGTCAGAATTATTAGGTCCCCTGAATTAGCGCCCCTGTTTATTTTTCCCCCAATTTCTGTTTAACGGAAAGAAGATTTATTCAACACATTTCTAAACATAATAGTTTTAATAACTCATTTCTAATAACTGATTTATTTTACCTTAGCAATGATGACAGTAAATAATATTTTACTAAATATTTTTTAAGACACTTCTGTACAGCTTAAAGTGACATTTAAAGGCTTAAGTAGGTTAATTAGGTTAACTAGGCAGGTTAGGGTAATTAGGCAAGTTATTGTTTAATGATGGTTTGTTTTATAGACTATCGAAAAAAAAAATTAGATTTAAGGGGCTAATAATTTTGTCCTTAAAATGGTGTTGAAAAATTTTAAAACTGCTTTTATTCAAGTCAAAATAAAACAAATAAGACTTTCTCTAGAAGAAAAAAATATTATCAGAAATACTGTGAAAATGTCCTTGCTCTGTTAAACATCATTTGGGAAATATTTTAAAAAGAAAAAAAAAATTCAAAGGGAGGCTAATAATTCTGACTTCATATATATATATATATATATATATATATATATATATATATATATATATATATATATATATATATATATATATATATATATATATATATATTGATTGATAGATAGATAGATAGATAGATAACATGTTTTAATTTCAGTTTTTTAACATTGATGTTTAATAAATAATCATAGATAGTAGATAGTGTGTTTCCTTCAATTATTTTAAAATTAAGTAATGCACCTTTCGTTCAAAAATCTCTCACTTGTAATATGAGTATATTTACTGTACAAAACTTTTTAAATAAATAATAAATAAAATAAGCGTTCTTTGATCATAATCAAGTTAAAATGTTCAATTAATCGAGATATTGATTTTAGGCTGATTTTAGTGGAAATTAGTATCCTGTGCTTTTTTTGTTTTACATATGGCAATACTCTTTTCAGCAGATCATCAAACTATGCGGTACAAATTCTAAAGTATGAAAATTATATTTTGTCATCATTTGTTCAGCGTTTTCTACGTAAAAAATAAAGCAAACTCAGCATCATTCGTTCTACTATTGTTAATTAGAAGCACATAGCATCTACATCACGTAATCTTATTCTGTGCTATTGAATAGATAATTGCTCTTGACAGATTTTTATGAAAGTGTTCTTTTCTCACATAATCCGCTTGTTAAGTGTGACGTCAAGCGAATCGGCTTCCAGGTCCAAGCGCTCTATTTAACTGAATGGGGAGACTCATGAAATGGTAATAATCAACGTTTACAAAGTGATTTAATACTTTAGAAAATCACGATCGCAATATATATGTCCATGCCTAATATCCGATGGCCTGAAAGTGATTCATTTTTTTTAGAAATTGTTACATTTTTGGTATTTGTTATGCAGCAAGCCCAGAGATTGTTGTGTACACTATGATTTTATATAAAATTAACTTTAATGTGTGATAGGAATAAAACGTGATCATAAACGAATGATTTCTCCACTCAAATGAATGGCGGCTTGGACCCGAAAACAGTATTACATACGTCACCACTTAACAAGCGGATTGTTTTGTTTAGAGGTACACGCCAGCACCATGACGCGTTTACAAGCCCACCTCCTGCAGGGTGGGCTGTTAGAATGCTTGTAAACATTTTATTTATTTATTTATAAATACTTTACACCTAAATGAAGAATGAAAAAGAAATTTACTTTGAAGTATATCTGGGCCTTAAGTCTACTGTACTAAATTAAACTGCAAATATTAATGTTTTATTGTTCTGTTTTTTTCCTTCAGATTAATAGTCTTGCATCAAAAGGTGAATACAAACCCTCAGGTCAGGCTGGCCAAGCATCCACACAGTCTCTATTTACTGCAAGCTATACCTACTAAACTCAACAACAAACAGCAAAGTGTGCTGGACAATACAAAAAATGAGTGAAGATGCCAAAGTTATTCAAGATGACTTTATGACACACTATAAATTGTACAAATATGTTCATGTACCTCTGCCAAATCTGACTCAACTAGACACTGTTTAACCTGGATTAGATTTAGTTTTCATGCATGTGCACCTACTGATGCTTTTCATTTTGAAATAAAAAATGGTTTTATTTGAGTTGATCTCTTGTGTGAATGTTTGAGAGAGAACTGAGTTTTGGCAAAAATCTAAATTAAATTGTAGTGCTTTACTGTTCTAAAGACTAATGTGTTTGCCATGGTATACAACTGAAAGTGATGTTACGTTACTTAAGTGGATAAGGTGGATTGAAGAGCAGCAAAATCTCATGCAGGTTTTTCATTCTTGCTTCATCTGCTGCTGTCTTTCCCCATATATTCTTGTGCTGACAGGGAAAAAGGAAATCATATGTTAGTGGTTGATAGTTATGATATTTGTTCCGTCATTCAGAACAAAGAAAACCAGATTATGTTTTTATTATGAATTATTACACTGCTCTCTGGAATACTTGATTCGGATTTTCAATCATTCCAAGGTATGTTATTTTTAGATAACAACCAGTTCACCTAATAACACAGGCTCATATGGATACTTAAAATAAACATGACCGTATGTCAACAACATCTCGATGTGACATCTCGCATGGTTCAATTGGATCTTGTTAACTGCAAGTTACACCTCTAACTTGCCACAAATTACCCCCCTTCTTGTCTTGCAGTCCGCAGACAGATACACTTGGCAGGGTGGGCTGTTAGAGTGCTTGTAACATATTTATTTGATGATATATTTCTTGCTTCTAAATAAAGAATGAAAAAGAAATTGATTTTGAAGTATATCTGAAGTATAACAACCAGTCAACCTAATAACACAGACTTATATGGATACTTCAAATCAACATGACCGTTAGTGAAAAGAAATGAACAAATTATAGTAATATGTATACAGTGTTCAGCATAAATGAGTAGACCCCTCACAGATCTCTCTTTTAAATTAATATTTTATACAGGACACTTTACAGTTATATATTTGTGCATGTACATTTGAGTAGCAGTAGCAAACACAAAACTATTAAAACTAAAAAAACTAAGATCCGTCCAAAAATTCATATGTTGGATAACAAATACTTGTTTGTATAACTCGTTTGATTCTAGATGTATTATCTGTCTATTCTTAAAGATGTTCACTGACCAAACTCTTACTTTAATGCATAGGTCTCAAACTCAATTCCTGGAGGGTCGCAGCTCTGCGGTTTTGCTCCCAATTCTAATTAAATACAGCTGATCCGACTAATCAAGCTGTTCCTCACTACTAGACACTACTAGATCAGCTGTGTTTAATTAGGGTTGGAGCTAAACTGCGTAGAGCTGCTGCCCTCCAGGTATTGAGTTTAAGACCTATGCATAAACTGTTTAATACATTTTTAATACACCACATTTTTTGGCTATATTCATTGAGAAACTGATAAAAATATTCATTATTAATAGGGCGTGTTTATTTATGCAGAGCACTACATGCTTATCAGTCACACCACTGTTCTTGGCTGTTTGGCGCCATCTTGTGACTGAACAGTAATATTCGTATATATTAAAAGTAAATATTAAAGATTGCTTTTTAGTGACATTTTAAGCACTATTTGTAGCTGGATTAGGTTGTCAGCAGGTCATCATAATCACAAAGGAATCTGTTAAAGTTTTAAATTAAAAACTGTAGTCTATCATTTGTTAGGTAAATAACAAACAGACCAGCATTCAACATTCCAGTCAGAATTCGGCCCCTTGAATAATAATAATAAATAATAATAAAAATAATAATGTAGAGATTTTTCTAGCCTCTCATGTAAAAAAGTATGTTTGAAAATGTATGGATAACAATAATAGGCAAATTAGTATTCAAAATAATTTTAATATGGGCCACTTTTGATGGTCATTTATTTAAAGAATAACGTCCAAGATCTAGAATAAAAAGTTACTTGTAAAATTTTTGCTATATTTAACAACAATACAGTAGGTCAGTAAGGAAAGATGACTTACATTAGATTCTTAAGTGTTCTTGCGCAGCTGGATGTTGGAATCATGAAAAATAATGGTTTGCATTGAACAAAACTGATGATAGTTGAATTTACACCGAAGCAACAGCCAACAGAAGATTTGGCTTAATTTTAAAGCCGTTTTCAATTGGTTATGTTCACAATTTATGATGTCATAGCATTCAAAATAGGACAAACGAGCTTATGTATGGGACAAATTTTGGTCCTTTGTCAGTGAAGGGTCAAACCACCCAAAGATGGTGCAGATGTTTTGCTTTCTGCAGTTAGTAAATTAAGAAAGCTCAGATGTTTTGTTTTATGAGCAGCCAAAAAAGCCTTATCAGCAGCATATGAAGCACACTCAGGTTTCATTAGCCACAACAATCGGCTAGATGTACATTATCTCTTACATGATGTAAAAAAAAAAACATGTTTTTTTACCTCAGGAGAAGCTCCATATTCAAGAAGTTTGGAAACCATGTGCTTGTCCCTCTTTTCCACAGCTGCATGTAAAGCAGTTTGTCCATTGTAATCATCCTGGTTCATGTCTGCACCGGCTAAATACCACGCATGCAAAAGCTTACAGTCCTTAAGCCAAACTGCCCTAAATTAAAAAGCATAGTTGAATGCAAAGAACCACAACAGACTGACAAGTTCATCTGTAGTTTAGAAAGACTCACTTTATAAGTTCAATGCCAACTTGCACAGGCTTTAGAATTACTATTGCTCCTTCCTTGTTCAAGATCTTGATCACATCAATGTGTCTGGCAATTGGGTAGACGATCGGTGCATAAATGTCACATTCATTTGATTTGTGTTGTAAAAACATCTTAAAGGTCCTGTCAAATGCTTTGAAATGTGCAGTTTTTATTTATAGTAGTCCCTGCGCTTTTAAAAAACAGCCAATAGTGTTTTATTTTTATCACAGCTCTTCCAGTGAGAGTGGATGGTCAAGTGCATCAGATGAAAAAAAGCCATAGATATTTACATGAGATGTCGCCTACGCTGTTGTTGTTTATCAGAAGAACTGCACCAATAGAGCCACCATTTTAGTACAGGGTAGCGCTTTTTTCAAATGAATGTGGGACCAAGGTACAGTAAAAAAGTGACCATCCAGAGCCATAGATATGTAAACATATATAAATATATCTATGATCGGAATTTTTCCTAGTGGTTAGTGTGCAAATATATATATATATATATATATATATATATATATATATATATATATATATATATATATATATATATATATATACACATGTATATATATATATATATATATTTTTTTTTTTTTTTTTTTAAATTGGGAAAATTATAATTTTACATCACTTTCTACATCAATGGATAAGCGACCGGACAGGCATTGCCGACAAAAAGCTTGTGTTTGTGTGCATGGAAATGTATTGTCCTCCCTACCTGTTATATTTGATCTAATCCGTGTCCTGAAATACACCCCCTCTCCTGCTTTTACTTCTAATTCTAACAGAGGGAGCGATTTGTTTGTGAATGAATCTCCAATATGAACGTTTCGTTTGAACCATCGATATTCCTGCATCTCAATGTGCATAATATATCCACATTTCTGTTCTAAATGATATATAACATTTAAAATATTTAATAATTTAGGGTGTTATCAGGCATAAGTTACTTCAAAAACTAGCCGTGACTTAGCCAACAATAATGCAAGTTTCTGGCAGCGCAGAGTCTTGTTTTCATATTTCATTAACATTGTTTGCTGATTTAATTCATCAAAACTAGCATAAGTCTAGATTTGAGTGCAAATTAGTGTTACTTTGCATCATGGTCAGCGTGGTAAGTCTATAAGACTGTATTATCATCAATAACATTATTTTTTTTAAGTTTGTAACATACAAAAACTAAAGGTGGGCATAGATAATTTCTTTTAATCTAGAATAATCTTGAAATTAATCTAGATTAATCTAGATTAAAATGGCTCATTTGAAATCTGCCGAATGCATTCAGAATAAGTGTGCAACCCAAATAATAAGTCTTTGATAACGGGTATCTCAACTCAGGTGGCGCATTAGACCAGGAGCTCATCTCCTGTTTCCAAAATGCATCACAAACTGCTTGAGAAACTGTTCTACTATGATAATTGGTGATGAAAATAAATGATGTTCAATAAGATATACTTGTGCTTACTGTTTATGAATTTTGAACTGTATGCCTACATAAGCTCCAAATAGAGATTTTTGATCACCTTAATCCAACTAAAGTCATAACTGAACTAAACAGAAATGGAATTAAGACGTGGAGCATGCATATATTAGTGGCATTATTGAAGTAAACACCGCAATCAGTAAAGGACTTTACATCATATTTTCCGACAAGATCCACATGCGTCTGTCAGTAAAAGACGGCACACACACAAACACATCGCAAAATGCAGAAGTTTTTTTCTTTCCATTTGTCACACGTTATTAAATTCCATAACACTCTCACCAGTCCTCACTCCTTATTTGTGTCTAATACCCCAGTTTGTCACGGTAGCATGTATGAAATGTTCATGAGTTAAAGTGAAACTGCTGAACTGCAGTTAAAGTCAGGCATCCTGCTGATTTGATTCAGAAGGGCACTTTTTTGTCAGACGGCTCACCGGTCAGGTGTACATCCGCGCTAAAATATCAAATTAAAGTCATCATAGCTTGCGTAGAATAGACCCAGCTCCCAACTTAACTTTGAGAATAGATTAACGCCGATATTTTTTTAAATCACGCGATAGGAGTCTCGCATTAACATAGAAAGTTAACGCCGATAACAGTCCACCACTACCAAAAACGTAAAAAAAAGAAATCTTACCTATGAAATGTGATGCCTTTATGCTTTGTTTGCTCATTACTACACCCATATGCAGCGCAAAAGTGGGGTGATGCGGACGCTGCTCTCACTATTCTGCCACCCTAGGTCACCTCTATGGATGCGCGGGTCCTGGTCTTGACAATTGCGATTGAATGACTTTTGTCCTGGAAGCCCTGTACAAATGTGGCGGCAGTATTGACGAATGCTCAAGGCCGATATATAATATCTAGGGAACATATCTATGATGCAAAGCAAATGAGAAGCATCTTGAAGGGGGTGGGGCATGTAAGATACTAGGGAGCATTTGATTGGTCAGATGAATTGATGTGAAACTGCAAGCTTTCACACAGCTATGTGAATTTTGTCAATGTTTTTAGGGACATTCGCTTAAAGATATCCTTATGACAATCGAACTTATATTAACATTAAAAACAAAAAAAACATAATAAAAAGTATTTTAATTTCACAGGACCTTTAAATCGTTCCCGCAAAAATCCGTCTCGACTAGAGATGCCTAAAGTAGGCACGGGCCGAAGTTGGCCCATTGTAACCTTTAATTTTGCCCACCATCCCAATTTGAGGAGAATGATGAAGGGTTGGGGCAAACGCCTTTAAAAGAGATCGTCATTTTATATGACATTCTATACTTATTAAGAAAAGGTTTGTGCACCCCTGGTCTAGACTATACAGGTTTTATAGACAACACAAGTATGGAAATGTCTTAAGCCACCAACAATATTGATAAAAAGGTGATAATTACATTCAATTTTAAACATATAGACCCTTTAAATAACCTGTTCCTCAAAAAAACACTTACTTGTTTTTTATGGCAAGATGCAGAGGTGTAAAACCAGAGCAGTTTACCATATGGCATGACGCTCCAATAGACAATAAATGCTTTACTATGTAAGTTATGCCCTTTTCACAAGCTCTGTGCATGACAGTGTTGCCATCATAATCTTCAGCATCCACGTCCATCTGAAGAAATCATTTGAGAATTAACAATTGCATAACCTGCGATATGAACGAGCAGAACAGCCCAATGCTCTTCATTTTCTACATGTTGCAAGCGTTATTAATCTTACCATGTCTAGGATCTCCTGTAAACACACCAGGTCGTTGTTTTCTACACATTGGCAGGCAAAAGAGGGCAGCAGCAGTGACAGAATTGTTGTGACATCCTGAGTAAAAGCATCTTATGTTACATTACTTCAAGTCAATCTAACATTTTTCAAGTTTACTGTAATAATTTATGAGAAGGGAACGTCCATAAGAAATTAGATTCATTTCAAATAGACATTGGATGATAACTGTTTTCAAGGTACAGAAAAGTTTGAAAAAGGTTTTAAAACCGCATATTCTGCTATACCTTTCCTATGGTATGTGTCAGATTTTTTTATTTACAATTTTTTTATTCATTTTTTAGGAAAACAGTATCTCAGCAGAAAAGAGATGCAAAGATTATAAAATTGTATAGAATTCTAAAGAAACATTTTTCGTTGTAAATTGTAGAGAAATCTGTGTTTTTGAAACTAATAAAGACAGCAGAAGTCAATGATTCATTTTACTAATTCAACCTGACATGTTTACTCCTCCAAAATCATTTGTTTCTCAAATTAAAATATATTGTGTCCAAAATGGAAAAAAGGTTTAGTTTTTTCAGGGTGTCCACGGGGTCTTAAAAAGTTCTAAAATGTCATAAATTTAAAAAAACTAAATTTAAAAAGTACTTAATACTTAAAAAGTATTAAATTCACTGAAATATGCTGTTGTGGGTCTTAAAAACTGTTAACCAGGTCATATTATTCCCTAATTATCCATGTAAAGCTATTGCCAATCGGTACAACCAACAAATCCAAAAACATTTCACACATTTAATTTATTAACTATTTAGCACTATGGTTGAATTGTCTTCCTTACATTCTTACAATAACATTTGTTTAAAAGTTCTATATGTTTTTATGCATAAATTTATGTTGTGCATACATTTTGTTCATTATAGCAATTAAAACAATAAAGAAAGGTTATGCTAATAATATATATATTACACACATATATATATATATATATATATATATATATATATATATATATATATATATATATATATATATATATATATATATATATATAATTTACAATATGCGGCTAAGAAATAACAGAATTTAAATTTTAAAGAGGCCTGTAAAAAAATTAAATCCATTACACAATTAATAAGTGTTATCTGTCATGCTTTATTTGTATGTTGTTATTTTGTTTATTTATTATTAAATCAAAAATATTTAGTTTTAGGGAAAATGTAAGTAAATAGTGATTAAAAAATAAAAGATGTGTCTATGTCAATGACAATAAAATATTTTGGATAGCAAAAAATATATATAAATAACCATTGTCCTATTATGCAGTTACCACAACTTTCATTGTACACTCATTCATTTTGTTCTCTGTTCTGCTGTAATTTATTGCACATCTAGAATCTTTGCTTTCAAGTTGAAATGTTTTGCTTGTGCTTTGAAAGGTTTACAACCCATGTTTGTATCTTCCTGGAAAAGTATCAAATGCATGGTAGCATTTGCATCACAAGAATATTACATTCTCTTCCCAGGCTAAAAGCTGTATTTAGTTGTATGTGATAAATACTTTTTAAACTTTACAATAAATATTTTACAGAAATATTTCCAATGGTAGGAAATAGAAAAGCCCTATTCGGACTGTCAGTCCAAATCTGATCCATATACAATCTAATGACAAAATGTATTTGTAAAAATAACAAAAAACAAAAAGTAGAAAACATTTTAAATATCCATCAGTTTTCCAGTTAATAATGGAACAACATTAAAAAACAACAACATATGTATGTTACATAACACATGTTTTTGTTGTAAATATTAGTAACATAATAAATGTTTGCTGAAAAAAATTTCATTTTTGGAATTAATAAAGGACTGCCAATAGTAGCCAATTGATTAACATTTGATAATAATGTTAGATAAGGAGAATATTGCCGCATCTTGATTATTATCATTATTAGTAACATTAAGTTACATTGTGAACATTTACAATTTAAAAAGTAATTATCGCGTAATACTGAATACAGCTAGAAGCCTGGAAGGAGAATTTGATATTCTTGTGATGCAAATGCTACTAAGTAACTTTCCAGGGAGATGCAAACAAATCCAAAACTTTTCAACACACAAGAAAAGCATTTCAACTCCCAAAATTGCGTTAAGAATTTAATTGTAGTAACAGGTATTGAATTCCTGAAGCAATGTTTAAAGTGGCGGTTGCTGACTTTGTCCGTTTACTGGAAATTGACTTTTCTCTCAAAGAATCACGGGGCATAGGGAATAGGTGTAACGTTATAAAAATAGCAAACTGATGGCAACAAATGTGTAAACTCACTTCAAGAGTCCTGTTATTCAGCCAGTCGAGTTTGAGCATTTTGCCCACGATGTAGAGGAACCGTCGGTCGCGTGATAGAGCAACAAATTCCGTTAACGGTAGAAAAAACGGATCGTGTAGATCCCCCTCTTTTAATTCGAAATTATATGGAAAAAAAATTTAAATATACATTAATAACCACAAAACGTATTTTCAAAAGCTTCAAAAATAATGTATGATGTATAAAGCTTTACTTACCCTTCATGCTTTTAACAAGACTATTAATCTCAGGAAGTGAAATGACGCCTTTTCTGCGCATGCGCCATCTAGAATTATCATATGACCGCGAATATCTTGCTAATGCTATCTTTTACAGTCTATGTATGAAATCTTGCTGTATTTCACTGAAATGTATGGCACGAAGCACTCATAAAACGGCTATTCTAGCTAAAAACAAAAACAAATAAAGCAAAAAATTAATAAAAAATAAGCAGGTTATTTTTTTAATTTGAGAAGTTAGGGAAACCCATTATTTATATCCATTTTTATATTTTAGTTATTTATAGTTTAAACCAATTAGTTAATCAGACAGACAGAATGATATAATCAAATCAATCTTTATTGGCAATTTGACACGAACAACCCATCTATCCTACTAAAATACACATGCATGCGCTGTATCTAAGCAAGTCTTTCCACAGTTACAGTTAAACACATACTTGGAGAATCACTTCCAACAGGTGAATGTTGGTTTACATTAAGGTGAAACTAAAAGGCCGGAGGGCCGTTCATAGGCCTCCCTCCTTAGTTCTCTCTGCTGTTGATCCTGTGAAACCTGAGACTCTGAGATTGTGTCCTTTGGGGAACATCGTCAAAAAATAGTTTTAACAATATTCAGCCTTGAAATTGTGCTCAAAATGACCATTGGCAACAACTTGCTACAAATTTAAAACTAGCAAACAAAAGAACCCAAGCGCACCACATTACAATATAAGGGTTTCAAAGCTGTATAGATGACAAATTTTGACAGGATGAAAAAATAAATAAATTCCATCTAAGTAAACTATGCAAGATTTGAATCTACCAAACACTGCGTAATGTTTACAACCAAAACTTTAGTCACAAAAGAGCACTAAATGCAGCATGAAGTTATAAACAACGTGACATTGTTTTGTATAACACAGCATACCATAGAAAGAAGGAAAGAGAAAAATAAGATTTCTCCAAATGTACGCATATCTATTAATTCTTTGTTTGCGCAGGTCCTCAAAGGACTTTGGTCACACACATAATGTCTTATTTGAATAATGTGGATGATGATGATATAAGAAACTGTAAACTAATATGATGTTTATCCTCACCTTAACACCAAAGAACACTTTCTAGTCTGTATATCCACCAAGTTCTGACCAGTATTGCTATAAATGCTACAACTTTTTTTTTAAATGTTACCTCATGAACTGAGAATGTCAGCAAAAAATAAAACCCCAAAAAACATCACATTAACAAATGCATGTTGTCACAGATTTCACAGGTGCAAAAGCAAGGCATCAGAGAGTGTTCTCTACAACTAACTACCTACTCCCTATCTAAAAATAATGACCTAAATGGGTGCCCTTGTTCAAAAAACCAACAATGAATAATTCATTTTGTTAACACACTACAAGGCAGAAGCTCCTTTGAGATAAACTGATATGGAGTCGTGTTGGTTTGTTTTACACTACTGAAAAGAAACCAGTTAAATAAATGCCAAACTATCAACCTTTTTTAAAAAACACTCCCTTGTCACAACAGTCCATTTAGCGCAGGACGATCCATTGTGATTCTGAACCATCAGTTCAATGAAGGTCTTGTAGACCAGATGAGGGCTGGGGCATCTTGTCAATGATAGTCGCTTGAATGGAACAAGGGCTGAAAGACTGACATCCATCGACAAATGGTGCCCAGCCTAAGATGTCGCCACAAGTTAACGTTCCAGAACCAATGTGGCGCTTCCATCACATAATATAAACCTTTTCAGCCTGGGAAAAGTTGAAAACCTCTTTGGTCCTGGGGCATATCACCTTATCATCTTGACGAATGGACAGGAGTGACTGAAAAGCAGAGGTAAGGGAACATTAATCATTATATACACACTACCTGACAAAAGTCTTGTTGCCTATCCAAGTTTTTGGAACAACAAATTATGACTTGACTTCTAGTTGATCATTTGGTATCAGAAGTGGCTTATATTAAAGGCCAAGGCCTCTAGATTACGCCTATTTTACCTAAATAAATTATGATCATGCCTTGATTTTTAATCATTTAATTAGGACAGTAAGGTTTTTGCTTAGACAAAGGTCTTGTCACTTAAAATAAATAATGTACAGTATAAAATATAAAGTCATGGTGCTGTGGAAAATAATCAATATTGTGTATGACTCCCATGAGCTTGGAGGACTGCATCCATTCATCTCTGCAATGACTCAAATCACTTATTAATAAAGTCATCTGGATTGACAAAGAAAGCCTTCTTGCAGGACTCCCAGAGTTCATCAAGATTCTTTGAATTCATCTTCAATACCGCCTCCATCTTACCCCAGATATGCTTGATAATGTTCATGTCTGGTGACTGAGCTGGCCAATCCAGGAGCACCTTGACCTTCTTTGCTTTCAGGAACTGTGGTGTGGAGGCTAAAGTATCAGAAGGGGCACTATCCTGCTGAAGAGTTTGCCCTCTCCTGTGGTTTGTAATGTAATGGGCAGCACAAATGTCTTGATACCTCAGGCTGTTGATGTTGCCATCCACTCTGCAGATCTCTCGCACGCGCCCATACTGAATGTAACCCTAAACCATGATTTTCCCTTCACCAAACTTGACTGATTTGTAAGAGAATCTTGGGTCCATGTGGGTTCCAATAGATCTCCTGCAGTATTTGTAATGATTTGTATGCAGTTCAACAGATGATTCATCTGAAAAAAAAAAAATCTACCTTCTGATATTTTTCCAAATGATCAACTAGAGGTCAAGTTATTATTCATTGCTCTTACAACTGGGATTGACGACAAGACTTGTGCCAGATAGTGTACAGGAAATTAACAGCATATAAATAGCATCATAAAAATACTGAAGAAAAAAATGGCATGCAGAAGGAAAACTGACTTTGAAACTCACATTGTATCCATAAACATAGCCATTAGGCAGCATCATGGGAGGATTGTTCTCATTCATGACCTCGCCAGAGATTTTGCACACCAGCCTCGAGTTTGCACAGTGAGCCATGGGAAGCGGTTGCGCCAATTTGTTTAGTGACTTACTGCAGACGGGACAGTCTGGGTTTTTGGAAGTGCCATCTTCTTTATAACACTGCCTGTAAACGCGGAATTAAGGTCAACAAATGTTCAGTTAAAGTGTCAATATATATATATATATATATATATATATATAAATAAAAGGCGCTCTTCAACTGTTCTCCTTGGTGTAAGTAAAGGGCGCACATTTACAAGAGTGCTGTGTCTTGCTTGTTGTGCTACTGACTGATGCACCTACTGTATGTTTCAAACAGAGGAAGTCACACATCATAGTTTCCGCCACACCAAATTTCATTCTTGCCACGGCTACGTTACAGCTTCTCATTCAAAACATTCAGATGTTGTCATTTTTTTGCACAAAATCGTATTAAAATGTAAGTGAATTATAATAGAGCAAACTTTTCTGTAATCGTAGTAGTGCTTTGTGTTATCTGTTTAACCTTTTAAGGACTGACTGACAGGACTGCGTGATGTGTGAGGCCTGCAAACACTACGTAACTTACAGTTATTATGAACACCTTTTCCATAATTATACTTTCTTTATAAATAAAGGTCTATGATTCTGCATACAATGACTATCTTGCTGGAGCTTATGGCCGTTACACTTTACTTCAGGACGCATCAATGCCATTAGTGGAGACATTCATAAATATTCCTAGCAAATCTAATACATGTTGGAGACATACTCGTTACATAAACGCACTAAATTGCGTTTATTTGAGAGTGGAGAAGAAAATCTGCGATTGAGCAGTGTGTATTTGAGGGCGTGCAAGAAGTTTTGTGCACAAACAAATGAAAATCAGGGCACAAACTAAGAGATTCGCATGCTTGTTTTACATAGATGTGATCTCGACTTGTAATACTGCACTCAGACATTTGTCATTGAAATAACACCACAGGTAGTTGGAAGACCTGTGGAAAAAGCCTGCCACCACAGCTGGAAAAATCTAAGAGGAAACACTGCACATGATCATCTGGGATATACATCAGTGCACATGAATGCGAGCCCTATACTGACACTGAGGGGAATTTTTTTTTTTTTTTTTTTTTTTTTTTTTTTTTAAACAAAGTATTTTCTTAGCTTGATCATATTTTGATTGAAGGCATATATGGTCTGTTTTGAGCATGTTTTTTTTTTGTATTTGGCTGTCTATAGTGGATCAGGGAGCTTTTAGATGTAAAATATTTTAATTCAAGTTCTAAAGACAAATAAAGATCTCATATTTTTTTATTAACACTAATTTTGCTAATTTTCAATTTGAGCTAAATTAACACTAAGCTATTAAACTGCCATACTGACTCTTTTAAAGTCCTCCAGCAAAAGTACTATTACTCAAAATTACTTTAAAAACTTAGTTCAATAAAATATTAACAAGACATTCAATTGGGAAACTTTATAGGGAATATATATTTGAAATGAAACCAAGAATTAACTGGTTTGATGTCATTTAAAATAAAATAAGAGTTAATCCAAGTTAATTTCAGGGTTTCAAAATGACTTTCCAAAGCAAACTTTACAGAAAAGATCACTTTGGCTGATAAACACCTTTAAACTACAATTGTGTGTGCACATGACAAAGCGCATTTTCTCTAAAGCTGGGCATATTGTTGACAGAATAAAGAACTAACTTTAACTCAGTTGTGTTTAAATGCTTTTTTTATTAACCAGAACATGTGAAACAATACAAGCACTTTAACCTAATGCCAACTTGAGTGTACATGTATGTTCTGTATCATAATTGGGTCTGCTTTAAGTTTTATTATTCCCTCTGCACTTTTATGTTTGTTTTTGCCCAAATCAATGGTTTTAATTAAACAAAAAATAGGCAAATGTTAGCATGTTTGCAAATACTGTCAACAAAGTTTGAATAATCAGGTATGTGATGAGCCGAAGACAAAAAAATAAAAAATAAAGACGAGAGCCCCTCTTCCCTTGCTTTTAATAGTTTAATTAGTTATAAAATATATTTTTATAAATTTCTAATATTATCTAAACTCATGACACTTTCAGGTATTATATTTCTGGTG